TTTGCCTTAGCCTGGTCCTGACTGTTGCAGTCCCTTGAAGAATGAACGATGAGCTGGTAGATGGAAAATTCTGTCTCTTTTTCTTGCCTCCCTCTCTCCCTCCACCTTTCACTCTCCTACTCTTGTCACAATGCCTTTCAAATATTTTTAAATGTTTTTAAACAAAAAATTTTTAATTGTTGTTTATTTTAAAAATCACTTATTTCATTTACTTGAAATGTTGAGAAACACAGACTCTGACAAGCACAGTTCCCCTCTGCTGACTCAATCCTCAAATAACCTCGGTAGCTGAGGTATAGCAATGCCAACATTTTGGACCAAGAACTTGATCCAGGTCTTCCACGTGGCTGTCAAGGACACACCCCTTGACCCATCACTACTGCTTTTCATGGTCTGCACAAGCAGGAAGCCAAAGTTTGGAGTGTAGCCAAGTGCTTCAATAGGGGATAGCTAGCTGCTTGGTGAACCATTTGCTCCAGTGATTGCCCGTTGGCTTTTGTGTATCTTGGAGACCTTCGTAGTCTTGGAGACTACCTAAGCCCAGGAGGTACGTGAGACAAAGTGGGATAATGTGCATCTTGTGCTGTCCTCTTCCAAAAACAGATCCAGGTATAATGTCTTTGGTCAATTTTGATGCTTTACAAAATTAAAAATTTTAAATATAAAATTTGTGTTCATTATGAAGGAGACATTGTAAATCAATGACAAGGAGGATTATTTAATGAATCTTATTTGAGAATTTGTTTAGCTGCTAAGAAGAAAATTCAGTTTGGGTAGTCACTTAATAATCTTGATATGTTTTATTAAGATTGAAAAAGTAACATAAGAATATAAAACCTAATTTGGTAGAAAAGAAAAAATAATTTTTTCTAACCTATGGCAAAAGGAGGAAGAATGTGAAAAGGCAAAATTGGATTTGACTATAGAAAACCAGAAAGTTGTAAATGTCTGTGGCGTTATGAACAAAACTTACTGATAGAGAAACTAACCAGTCATTAATGAAATATAAACAAATCATTAAAATCCTAATATTTAAAGTAGTTATAGAAATTGATATGATTTCATCATGTTAATGGCCAAAAGGCACAAGCAAGGCAGTTTATTTGAAAGGAATAGATGATAAAGACCTGCTTATAGAACGTGTAAAATGTTTCTAAATGCTCAAAGACATGTGTTAAAATGAGATAACACTTGTATCTATTGATTCAGAAAATATGAAAACAAAATAGTGTTATTAAATTTCAAACTGACTGTACTTCTTATACCATAGTGCTGGGGCTTTAAATTGGAAAAGCAATTGGATGATAGTTGTGAAAGTGCTTAAAATTGTGTGTATTTTTAAACCCCCATCTGAGGACATCTTGGGTAACGAAACAGTCTCAAATTAGGAAAAGCTTCATTTAATAACAGTTTTATGGGTTAGTTTTCTATCATATGACAGGTTTTCATCAAAGTCTTAAGTGTCTGAGCTCAGGGCTGAATGTATATCTACTATAAATTCTGGCTAAGGCCCGGCATGGTAGCCTAGCGGTTAAAGTTCTTGCCTCATAAGTGCTGGGATCCCATACGGGAGCCAGTTCTAATCCTGGCAGCCCTGCTTCCAATCCATTTCCCTTCTTGAGGCCTGGAAAAGCAGTCAAGGAGGGCCCAAAACCTTGGGACCTTGAACCCATGTGGGAGAACCAGAACAGCTCCTGGCTCCTGGCTTTGGATTGGTGCAGCTCCGGCTGTTGTGGTTGCTTGAGGAGTGAATCAATGGCCTAAAGATCTTCCTCTCTGTCTCTCTGACTTTCCAAAAAAAGTAAATAAATCTTTAAAAGAAAACTTGTGTCTGAAACCTTCATAACTATTTCATTCTACCCAAGATGCTTTTCATGATGTAATAGCAAAAAAAAACTAAAGAGTTCCTAAAAGATCTATCCAAAATGTAACAGTAAAACCAAACTATGAGTGAGCCAATTCTGTATAATGATAATCAGCCAAATAGGCTATGGGATATGCTTATTTTTAATCATTTGAAATGAAAGTGATTTTTGGCATATTTTTATGATTTTAACTATTTAAATTTGGATATAGAGAGGGTGAAGGAATACAAATTTTGTGTAGTTGCCTTTTGTTTATGAAGCCATACTGATACTTTTAATTTTTTTAGCTATACTGTTTTTGTGCTTTCCAAATTTGTCAGAATAAGAATGTACCATACTTTTCCAATGTGGTGGCCTAGGGGCTAAATTCTTGCCTTGCACCCCAGGAATCCAGTGTGGGTGATGGTTCATGTCCCACTTACCCCACTTCCCATCCAGCTCCCTGCTTGTGACCTGGAAAAGCAGTCAAGGATGGCGCAAAGCCTTGGGACCCTACACCCATGTGGGAGACCTGGAAGAAGTCCTGCGCTCCTGCCTTTGGATTGGCTCAACTCTGGCCATTGCGGCCACTTGGGGAATGAACGGGAAGATGCAAAATCTTTCTCTGTCTATCCTCCTCTCTGGAAATCTGCCTTTCCAATAAAAAGTAAATAATAAATAAATCTTTGTTAAGTAAAAGCATATCATCCCATATTCAGGAAAAATAAATTTGGTTTTAGTTTAAAAAATTTAGAATTTTATATTCTTAGCAATAGTGGAACATGCACCGTCTTTATTCAATTAAACCTTAGTAGTCACACAAAAGAGGAAAAGAGGTTCTGAGGTTATGTTCTTATCTAAGTGTCTAATAAGACAAAAATCTATTAATGCCATGAAAACAAATGAATATTTGTAATAGTTACTATAGAATGGAAACAGTTGATTTAGTTCTTAAAAATATAGCTAAGGGATTGAAAAATAAATTATAAATTTAAATAAGAGACAGGGGTTGTGTTGGCTAGACAGAGAGGCACTCAACTACATCTGTGAGGGTTGGACAGTTGAGCTGGTTGGATGGAACTAAGCTCCAATCCCCTTTGACATTTACATGAGCCCAATGGGATATGGGGCAGACTGAACCAGGCTGCTACACATGCTGGCAAATCAGGGCAGGGGTGGGCCAGGTGGGGTTATTGGGGATCGCTCCCACTAGGCTACAGCTCCCAGTGGTTGATGTCACGGCTGAGTAAGTGATGAGCAGAACCAGGACGGACTACAACACCCATTGATTCCAGTGGAAGTCCAGGCTCAAGATGGAACCAACCCAGCAATTGCAACCACCAGCTGAACGGGGACCAGAGAAGGTCTCCCCAAGAAGCTGTTGAACTTATCTGGACAATAAGATGCTGGACTCCATGCTTGGTATATGCTTGCAATATGCTTGCAACAAGGTGGGGGAACCCACCATGGGGGCAGGTTTAGGGGAGGGGTAGGGGGAATCCCAGAGCCTATGAAACTGTGTCACATAATGAAATGTAATTAATAAAAAAATTTAAATAAGAGGAACTAAATTTCTGACATAATCAGAGAAGAATTTTTCTTACTGATGACTTTTCTCTGACAATATATATGATGTCTACAAACTGTAATATGTCAGCAAATTTGTGATTTCTTTCATAGATTGCATAACAAGGAAATTTGTAAGTTCTATATTCTTTTCAAAAATTTCTATATTCTCTAGTTTAAATGCAGGATTAGCTATCAGGACACACACACACAGGGAGAGTGAGAAAGAGATATTTCATCTGCTTATGAATTTCTCAATTGCCCACAAGAGCCAGGGCTAGGTCAGGCCAAAATCAAAACTGCATGACTCAATCTAGCTCTCGCCCATGGGCAACTGAGGTTCAGGTACTTGGGGCATGTTCTGCTGCCTGCCTGGGTGTACTAGCCAGAAGCTGACCTGGACCCATATCAGCATTCTAATATGCGATGCAGCCATCCCAACCACATGCTTAACTTTTTGTCACAACACCTGCCCCTAGGAATTATCAAACCCATTTGCCCTTACTCTTTTGAAGGAGATAATTCTGCTAAAGAAAGTGTCATGTTTTAGGACCACAACTAGTTTTAGAAAACAAGATTCACTACCACAGACAGAGGACAAAAGCAGTTTTTTTTAAAACAATTTCATTTTATGACACAGTTTCATAGGCTCTGGAATTCCCCCAACCCCTCCCCTAACCCACCCCCCATGGTGGATTCCTCCACATTGCTGCAGTAGTACAGTTGATACCCAGTCTTGATTCCTTCATTGAAAGCATGTACCAAGCAAAGAGTCCAGCATCATGTTGTCCAGATAAATTCAACAGTTTCATTGGGAGACCATCTTTGATCTGGCAGAATATCATCCCCTCCTTTGAAAAGCCACAAGACAATATTAACAACAATTTACAACATTACGGAATTAATTGACATGGTATTGAGTAATCAATATGTTAAAACAATGTGAGTTCTAAGCCACATTCTGTAACTACTTCATTGAGATTTCAATTTTAGTTTATACACAACTGGTTGCTATACACCTTAAAATGGCTATAGGGTACTATTCAGCTGTCTCATGTCTGTTTTCATTTTTATATTTAGCAGCTTATAGTATTGAAGCGATTTTTACTGAACTTGGCGAATTTTAGGATAGTCTAAACAGGCTTATAACTCTAACATGTTAATAGTTGAGGCACATAACAGTTTTAGGAGGGGTATGCAGAGAAATCTTCAATACCTTAGTGAGGAGTAACTAATCTGTGTGTCCTATCTAGTAAAGTATATGTGAGTGCAAGCTGACTGTTTCCTGTCTGGTTCTAACCTTTCCTTATTGGTCTCTGTCTATCTGTTCTAATTTTTTTGGTGGGGGGGGAGGGGCGTGGTGCGGAGCGACCTGGATGGTCATTGCAAGAGAGGGTGGGGATCCAAAGTTGGAACTAAGTAAGGACCAGAGAAAGCTCCCCTCCCAAATCCTGAAGAAAGTTTACTGTTCTTCTATTTCTGAGGACCGCTCAGGGCTCCTGGCTGTTGTTCTGATGACATTAGATCCTGTGAGGATGGATCTGGGCTTCTTCCATCCCATGTGGGCGATTCAATAGGGAATGGATGACCTCAGAGTTTTCAGCCTACAAGGGTACTCCATTTCGCCATGGTCTCCTTGGCAGTTGGGATATAGTTCTGGGTGCCTGTACTGATATTCCTTGGTGAGGGTCTGGGAATGTTCTGGGTTGGTATACAAGCCTCCTCCTGTCCTCCTGCTCCACTCTGGGGCCCCCCTCCCCTGCTCTGTGCATATTACTTCCTGTTAAGGAACACTCTTGGATCCCTCTGCATGTCTTTATAGTTTTTGCTAATGTCTAATGCAAATTCGAGTCTGCAAAAGCAATGGTTTTATATGTATTTGTATTTCCATGGTATAATCCATTTAATTCCATAATTAACACTGATGATTTGATTATGATCAGTTTGTGGAATTACGAACCACTTTGGGTTTTTTCTCACCTCATTAACTAACAAACGAGGCACTGATAGTTGATAATACCCAGTTTTTCACAAACTGTTGCTCCATTTTACCTAATGTTTTTGGTTTTATGAATTTATATCTGTTAGAGTGGGTTTTCCCTTTATTTTTCTCTTTTTAAGCACATGTCAGGATCATATAAAAATAAATACAGCTTTATCATCAACTTCTCATTTTTTTCCTATGAGCGGTAGTACCCATTCAGTGTGTCAGTGTCAAGTTTAAAATTGTTTTTAGTCAATTTCTAAAATTAGTAGGATTAATTTTAATTAAAACTGCACTGTTTATATTAACTAGTACTTTATTAACAATGTAACAGAAAAAGGCTAGAATTTTAAATATTACAGTGGAATCAAAGCTATTTTTGAAGAGTAGCACATTGACTTTATAAGTTGGGAAAGTTTAATTAGTAAACTAAATCCAATGCATTTAATTGTGCTTATATTTGAGGTATCTGAAAAATATCCCTTCAGCATTATTTCCTTTTACTAAAAATTATATAGATGTTATTTATTTCCTATAAATCCACACATCATTTCTCTTTCCCATTTTTCTAGTAAATAATCTTTCCCTACACAGCTATCCATTTAAAAAATTCATTTAAAATATTTTTTATTTTTCTATGTAGCTTCTAATTAATTCATTAATTTTAGGATGGATGAAAGTTATATTATTCATTAAATATATAATACAGCATATTATTTTAAGTTATGTAAATGTGCAAATTATGTAAACACTGCAAATGTGTTAGATCAAACTAATTATATATATCTCACTTTTTGTGTTTATTTTGTGATAAGAACAAATAAAATCCACTCATCAACTTTCTTTTTTTTTTTTTTTTAGATTTATTTTTATTATTTTTTTATTGGAAAGGCGGATATACAGAGAGGACAGACAGAGAGGAAGATCTTCCGTCCAATGATTCACTCCCCAAGTGAGCACAACGGGCCGATGCTATGCCGGCCCGAAGCCAGGAGCCTCTTCCGGGTCTCCCACGCGGGTGCAGGGTCCCAAAGCCTTGGGCCGTCCTCGACTGCTTTCCCGGGCCACAGGCAGGGAGCTGGAAGGGAAGTGGGGCTGCCGGGATTAGAACCAGCGCCCATATGGGATCCTGGGCATGCAAGGCGAGGACTTAACCACTTGCGCCACCGCGCCGGGCCCCACTCATCAATTTTCAAGGACATAGAACATGATAATCAACTACAGTCACTATATTGCTCACTGTTTCTGTTTAGCACCTACCTAACTGAAATTTTCTTTTTTAGGGGAGACCAACATCTATTCCTTCCTTCAATCCAGCCCCTGTTAGCCAGAATTCTACCCAACTTCCATGAGCACAACTGTTTTAGATTCCTTATGTAAGTAGGATCATATAATATTTGTCTTTTTGTATTTAACTTCTTTTGCTTACGAAAATATCCTCCAGGTTGTTCTAGGTTGTCACAAACGACAGAATTTCCTTTCTAAGAAGTGTTTCTATCACCCTTTTTAAATCCATTCATCTGGAGAAAGATGGATTCTATGCCTTGATTATGCTGCAATGGATGTGATAATACTCACACCTCTAACAAATTGACCTCAGTTCTTTTGGATATGTAGCAAGAAGTCAGATTGTTGGATCATATTGTAGCTTTATTCTTAGCTCTTTGAGGAACTGACCTACTATTCCATGATAGCTGTACTATTTTATGTTCTTACCAGCAGTGCGTTAGAGTTCCCTTTCCTCCACATCATTGCCCAGACTTGTTTTTCTTTCATCTTTATGTTAGGTATTCTAATGTGAGTAAAGTGTGGTATGGTTGTAGTTTTAATTTGCATTTCCATAATTACTAGTGATATTGAACGTCTTTTATATACCTGTTCACAGTTTGTCTAACTTTGAATACTATTCACATCCTTTGTTCATTTTAAAATCAGGTTGTTTGTTTTCTTACTGTTGAGTTATACAAATTCCTTAGATATTTTGTCAATAAATCCCATATCAGATAGCCGACTTAGCTGTACGGGAAGAGCCTCTTAGCTTGATGTCATGGAGCTTTTCCTTATTTCTTTTTTCAGTAATTTTATATTTTCAGGTGTTACATTTAAGTGCTTAATCCATTTAAAATTGATTTTACATATTGCATGGACTAAAGGTCTGGTTTCACTGTTCTGCATGTGGACATTCATTTGTCCCAATACCGTTGAAGAGCTTGTTCTTTTCCTATCGTGTGTTCTTAGCAACTTCTCAAAATACACATTGAGTGTAAATACATGGACTTATCTCTGGACTATTTATTTTCATTGACCTATGAGAGTTTCTGTACCGTGAGTATATTTTATTGATGTAGTTTTATGGTATATTTCAGAATCAAGTAGTATGACACCTCTAGCTTTTTTTTTTTTCGTTTTTTGAAGATTACTGTTGTTGTCTCAGGTTTTTCACATGTATCTGCAACATTTTTTCTATTTCGATGAAATATGTTGTTGGAATTTTTAACATAAACTGTGCTGGATCTATGCAGTGCTTTGGGAAAAAACTAACAATTCTTTCAATTCATAAATATATCTTTTCATTTGAATCTTTGACTTCTTTCATGAGCGTTTTATACTTTTCATTATATAGCTCCCATCTCTTTTATTATATTTATTCCCAAGTATCAATATTTTTAACTGTTGCATATGATTTTTTTCTTAATTCCTCTTGACTAACTTGTTGATAATGCATACAAGACGACTTATTTTTCTATGTTGACTTTGTAGCTATACTAAACTTGCTAATGAGTTCTAAATTATTTTTTTAATATATAATATATATTTTTATTAATTACATTTCATTATGTGACACAGTTTCATAGGCTCTGGGATTCCCCAAACCCCTCCCGAAGCCCTCCCCCCATGGTGGATTCCTTCACCTTTTTGCTGTATTACATTTCAAATTCAGTCAAGATTCTTTCATTGCAAGCATATACCAAGCATGGAGTCCAGCATCTTATTGTCCAGATAATTCAACAGTTGCTTGGGGAGACCTTCTCTGGTCTGAAGGCAGAGCTGGCAGAGTATCATCCTGATCAATTTAAAGCCACATTATAACATCAACAACAATATGGAATTAATTGACAAGGTATTAAGTAACCAATATGTTAAAAAATGAAAGTTCTTAACCACATTTTGTGACTACTTCATTGAGATTTCAATTTTAGTTTATATACTACCAGCTTCTAAACACATTAAAATGGCTATAGGGTACTATTCGGCTGTCTCGTGTCTGTTTTCATTTTAGTATTTAGCAGCTTATAGTGTTGAAGCATAATTTTGCTGAACTTTGCAGATTTTAGGATAGTCTAAACAGCTTATAACTCTAACAAGACATATGTCAACAATTGAGGGGCAGAACAGTTTTAGGAGGGTTGTGCAGAGAAATCTTCAATAACTTAGTAAGTAGTAACTAATCTTTGTGTCCTAGATAGTAAGGTATGTGTGAGTCCACGCTGACTGTTTCCTGTCTGATTCTAAGCTTTCCATGTTGTTCTCTGCCTGTCTATACTAATGTGTGTGTGTGTGTGTGTGTGTGTTGAGGGGGGTGTTCTGGAGCGACCCTGATGGTTGTTGCAAGACAGGGTGGGGATCCAAATGTTCTTTTCAGTCAATTTCAATAAATCCCTTTCTGTTAATGGTAGTGATAAACTGGCTCAGCTTTCACTCATTTTTAACTTTCCTTCATTTCTGATGGACAGTTTTTGCAGTTACATTATTTCTGGTTTGTTATATTTTCCCCTTTAGCACTTTGAATATGTCATCTCCATTTCTCCAGGACTGTAGGATCTCGAAGAAGAAATCTGATAATCTTATTGAAAAATTTTTGAATGGTACTTGCTGAAACAACAGGACTTTGTTACCTGAGTAATATCTCACAGTGTATATGTGCCAACCTGATCCATTTTTCTGGTGATGGACAACTTGATTGATCAACATTTTTGGCCTTTGTGAGCAGTGCTGCTTTGAATACTGTGGAGCACGTATCTCTATGATACAGTGCTTTTATGCATTTTGGAATCTGCTGATAGTGGGATTGCTGGGCCATAAGGCAGTTACGTTTGTGATTTTAAAGTAAATAGCCATATTGCTTTCCCCCAGCGGTTCCCATTTACATTCCCAACAATCATGCGTAAGGGGTTTCCTTTCCCCACATCCTGTCAGTATTTATTGTTCTCTTTTTTGGTAAGAGCCATGCTAACAGAGGACAGGTGATATCTCAGTGTGGTTTTGATTTTTCATTTTCGTGATGGCTAGCAATATTTAGCACTTTTTTTTTCTTTTTTGGCCATTTGTATTTTTTATTTTGAGAAATATCTACTAGGTCCTTTGCCCATTTGTTAACAAGATTTTGCTTTTTTGTTTTTGAGGGTTTTTGAGTTGCTAATATATTTTGGATAATGATCCTTGGTCATTCAAGTGGCTTGCAAATATTTTCTTCCATTCCGCTTGATATATCTTTACTCTCCTGATTTTTCCTTTCTTCTGTGAAGACTCCTGTGTTTGATATAGAATCAGGTCTCTTTTTTTTTTTTTGTCTGTGGTTTGGGGTCTTAACCTAAGAAGTTATCTCCTTTCCAGGTTTGGGGAATTTTCAGTCTTCCAGCAATATAAGACTTGCAGAATGATTTGTTCTGGTCTTGCCATGGCAACAATAGGTGGGACTTGATAATAAATCTTTAGCAGGTGTGGTTTTAAGTTGATGATTTTATATGTTCCACAAATGATGTTATACATACGCAGTGGCCCACCCCTGATGTCTTGAACCCCATCCCAATACATTTTCGTTTAGTATTTTCAGTTTCCAATCTTGTATTTAGACCTTTGGTCAATTTTGAATTGATATTCATGTATTGCAAAAAGCAAGGATCTGATTTCATTTGATAATTATGTTTTGATTTTGCATTGGGTTTTCATGTTTAATCCAGTTTTTGAGGATATATATTCCTTTGTGTATTCTGAGAGGGCTACAGATCATTTAACTTTTGCTGTAACATTAGGCACTCTTTAGCAACTGGTTGATGTAAGGTAATTTTTATGATCACTCAGACCATATTGGAAAATATACTATCTTGACTTTCTAGTCAGATTTATTGAGATTTATAAATCATCTGCAACAAAATCACCTTGTTTATGGAATTGGCGCACCCCAATTAAGAAACAAAAATGTACATCTCCTCCAAAAGGTATTTTGTGCCTCTGTGTAGCTAATCTTCTCTCCAACTTCCAGGCTACCATTGAACTCTCTTTTCTTATTATGGTTTTGCTTTTCTACAGCATTGTGAAAAGAAAACAGTTATTTAATTATTTGTGTCTGTCTTTTGCTAGTTGTCTTAATACCTTTGTGGTTTCTCCATGCTCTTGTCTGTGTTTCTCTTTTTATTGGTAATAGTCACCTAAATGGCTGTAACACAGCTTGTGAAACATTCAGCACGTGATAGGGTTTTTTTTTTTAAGATTTATTTATTGTTATTGGAAACGCAGATACATAGAGATGAGGAAAGACAGAAAGATCTTCCATCTGATGGGTCACTCCCCACGCGGCTGCAACAGCTGGAGCTGAGCCAATTCGAACCCTGGGGTCTCTACTGGGTCTCCCACTCAGGTGCAGGAACCCAAAGCTTTGGCCCGTCCTCAACTGCTTTCCCAGGTTGCAAGCAGGGAGCTGGATGGGAAGTGGAGCTGCTGGGATTAAAATGGGCATCCATATGGGATCCTGGTGCATTCAAGGCGAGAACCTTAGCCACTAGGCTATTGCGCTGTGCCCCGGGGTTTTTCTTGATTCTATTCATGGTTTTGGCAACTATGAATAAGTTTGCTATACAACTTGGGCACAGATTTTGTGAGATTATGGCTTTTCCTTTCTCTTGGGTAAATATCCAGGGTATTGTTGGCTTCTGTGATAATTTTATGTGGGGTATTGGAAATGGGGTGGTGCAGGTGGAAATAAAGTATGGGTCCGAATGCCAGCAGGGAGTTTGCTGGGCTTCTCTAGCAATGGCAGGGCACCTTTCATGATATTCATATGGCATTCTGAGGCTGACTCCAGGGCTATTTCATGGACTTCTTCCAGAAGCCAACAATTTTTCTTCTAGGTCTCTCTCCAGGAATGGACCCTCACTGTTCCTGGGAACTGAAGTCCTTGCTGTATCTCTCAGAGTTGGGAGTTTTCCTTTCTGTGAGAAAGTGGTGGAAGTTCGTGATTTTCCCTTTGTGTAACCCTCTGGTCCCTTTCAGTGACCAGTTGTGCCCTGTCTTCCCTTGGATATCCTTGGAGAAGTAATTGGAGTGCGTGCAAACTTTTCCCATGTTTTGGGATTCCAGTGGTTTTATTCCTTCATATTAACCACATCCTACCTCTCCTGACTCTGTATGTGCATAGCTTCTTACCTAGCTGAGTGTGGCCAGAGACCTTTTTTCCCTCTCCTGCTGTCCAGGTTTGAACCAGGCCACTAGTGCTTGTTGTAATTCAATTTCATTCAAAAATAAAATTCAGTTGAGAACACTTCTGCACAGTGTTATCTCCTGTAAGACAATTCCTGTGAATTCTATTTGTGGGCGGCAAAGGAAGGAAAGATGATTCCAGAATATCAAACCAGATTTCCTTGTACCACTGTTAGGGTTAGGATTAGACTATCAAAATGAATCAATTCAATTTTTTGACACATACACAAAAAGTGTGTATAGGTCGCATTTTCTGTGGTCTAAGTTTTCACCTTGTAATGTTCTGTTGGCAGCTAAACCTTGCAACCTGCTGCTGCTGGATTGCTTAATGTTACTCACAGCTGGGTAAACAATGAGCGTGAGAATCATATCATAAAATAACTGGGTTTATCTTGCATAGTTCTAACTTGATCAAATGTGTGTTTCTGAAAAAAAAAAAATCTCTGTGTTTGGATATGTTGGAGACTTGCTGCATTTTAGGGAGACCAAATCCTTCTTACACACTGCCTGGAGAAATAGAGTCCTCTCATGGATAAACACCCTAAGGCTGAGGGAAGGATGTGGCTCCACATCTCGTGATTTCTGCCACTGTGTGAAGTTTTACTGAAGTGGTTTATGTTGTTTAACTCATTTGAAAGCCAACATTGCAGAAGAGAAGTTTGTTTGAAGACCTAAAATAGACACATGTTGAGCTAAATGCAAAGCTTGGCTCATCTAATTGTGAGAGGAGAATTCAACAGATCTTAATTCATGCCAATTTTTGTGTTACAGAGGGGTGTGGAGAGACATTCATGATTGAACTGAAAACAGTTGAAGGTTATCCTAAGGAATTTTCAGCATTTATAAAAATCTTACAGGTAAATGAGTATTATGCATTTTTAAACCAGATTTGAAGGTGTTCTGTGACCTATCATTTGCTCCAAAACTGCATTACTTTTTAATTAAAACACACTCAGTTGATATAAGTATAATTTGACTAGTACCTAGATATTTTCTAGTAATATTTTCTGCTAGAAAATATGTTTCTAGTTTAGAAAGTACAGCTAACTATATCAGTATTTCATAGCATTCCAGTAACTGTGCTGTACATCCCAAGAAGCTTATCAGCCTATGTTTGAGTTGTCTTCAGTGAATGTCCACACGGTTTACTTCGGGTGCTAGGGTATGCTCCAGAAGTAACGATTGGATATGAAAAGTGATTATGCCTTAGTTTACTCATTTGTTCGTGGGGAGGATAATCATGCCTCCTTCATGGGATTGTTGTAAAGATTAAGTGAAGTATTGTTAGTAAGCTGCTTGATATACTACTTGGCCGAAGCAAGTATTCATTTGAGTTTGGCTATTATTCATACAAGCACTGAGATCACCATGAGCTTGTTTTCCGGCCATGTGGAAGATCTTTGCATCATTGTCTAAATTCCCTCTTTTAAGACAGATGCAAGAACAGTGACATGGTTACCTGTCCTGTTAGCCCCAAGAGTCTTTCCTGAAGGTCTACAGGGTCAGTGCTTATTAATCCACATTACAATTTCAAAACACCTGTATTTTTGGGTGGCAAAGCCAACAGCTGTTCACACCAAGTTATGACTTTTTAAATTTATACATTCCTGAATTTGAGAGAAGCTGTCAAGTTCTATTTCATGTATTTTTTCCCCTGTGTAACTCTCCTAGGTTTCAGTGTTTAAAGGAATATCATTCATAAGCTCGAATTTAAGATATCTCTTCCCATATCTTTCACACGTGACAAGCATGAGGCTCTAGTGTGGTGCTTTAGTTCAGGTGAGGTTGTGCAGCAAGCTCAGCAGTTAGGCAGTATCCCCCCATTCTGACATCATTCCGTCGGCAGGCAAGCCCTCTGCCCTAGATCCTCAGTCCAACTCCACTAAGGGCTTTCCAGCGTGAGTGTTTCTCCACAGAGCCAGCAGAGGGAGCACCGGTCTCTCCCTCGCCAAGGCATCAATCAGGCACGACTTTAAATCTAGGGTGGGTCCTTGGTGATTCAATCTAAAAAAAAAAGAAAAAAGATGAAGTTTGAAAGAAGATGAATAAAGATGAAATTCAAAGTATGCACGCTCATTAATTATCTTAATAATGCTGAGAAGTTAAAACTGACTCGGTGAAAATGTTCTTGTCAAGGCTTCAGGTCATT